CCGGCCTTCTGAGGACGCATCCCCGCCCGCCCTCTCCTCCCCCCAGGTGGCCGCCCCGCGTCCATGGCCCGCAGCCTAGTCGGGAACCGTGGCGCGCGGGCTCCCGAACTCGAAGCCCCCACGCGGGGGAGGGAGGGCGGCATCAGATCTCCACGTCCGACCTGGGCATCCCCCCCCAACACCCCTGTGCACTTGGCCAGGGAATTTCACGAGCGTGCGTGGGATATGTAGTTGGGGTTTGTTTTGCTCCCGTGTTCAACAGCCAAAGCAGAAATCAACCCCGAAATGGTGTTTTCTTGCAACACCACGTTCCCTCCTCTTCTTCCCAGGTTGCTGACCCGGTGGCTCCTGCAGCCGGCGTTTTACATGGGAAACGGTGATTTCTGCCCTGTGCCGTGGCTGGGCAGGCCACCTAAAACGTTAAATCCAGGGGCTCATTCGCTGCCTCCGAGGAACAGGTTTTAAAACTTACTCTCGCCTGGCCTGCGACCTTTTCCTTCATGTGATCCATGTTCGTTACCAACACTGGGAGCGACTTGTTTTCAGGATGACTTCTACACGGTTGTGAGTGTTCCAGGTGGAAAAATTGCCTTTCGACCCGGAGACCTTATATTTACTAAACATCCAAAAAAAAAGGGACTGGAGGAAATTAATAGAATATTTATTTTTCACTTTTAGTTAAGTGATCTCCGCAGGCACCCTGGGTCTGGTCTCCCGAGGCCGAGCCTTTTGCTCCCGTCTCCCCCAGGATTGGGGTTACAAGCATGCGGTACCACACTTGGCTAATTTTCTGCGTTTCTAAACCTACGGTTTTGTTTTTTGTTTTTGTTTTTTTAATAAGCTAGAAGGATAATGACCGGGAACGCAGGGCAAATAAAAGGGTATGTATCGAAAGCACTAAAACCTCAAAGCTTTTTTTGTGTCTTTTTGCTGTAAAATAATTTCAGAAAGGACTGTCCTCCGCCGAATGTGGGAAGGGAGGCCAGGCAGGGAGGGAAACACACACCGCAGCCTGAACTACCGCTGGGAAAGAAAGCGTTTAATAATAATAACAATAGTAATAATAATAATAGACTGGGTCCCTTTCCTCTTCCCCGCTACCTGCTGCTGTGACTTGCTACCCAAGACCCTCGCCCCGGCTTGGCTCGGGCGCTTTTCTGGACAGTCCAGAAGATTCCAGGCCCCACCCTTGGGGCCGATCGAGAGGTGCGCTTCCAATCCTGCTCCCCCTTCTCTCTCGCTGGTTTGCGCCCCCGGCTCCGCGTCGGGCTTAGCAAACCCTGCGGCTAATGCAGCCCCAGAAAACACGGGTCCTGCTTACTTCCCACTTCTCCTCCATCCATCCGTCCGTCCGTCCGTCGTTCTGTCCGTCCGTCCGTGCATCCGTCTGTCCATCCATCCGTCCGTCCGTCGTTCCGTCCGTCCGTCCGTCCATCCATCCATCGGGATCCAATTCCTCCTGTGCGCACGTGCCCGGGGCGGCTCGCGAGCTCTTCTTCATTTTCACCGAATGGAAAACGCATCGGACGAGCGCTTTCCCACCACCCCCGCCCCAAACACCGACCCAGCGGCGGGTAAAGGGCGGGGACTGGACACTAAGTGCGGACCGAGTGCCTTCGACGGCGCGGACCGTGGGACCCGCCTGCAGTGCCCGCCCAGCTCAGCCCGGACACCGTGTTCAGGTGCGGGGCACCTCC